GAAGTGAAAGAATCGAGTTTGTCACGAACTGTAGAGATGATGTAACCGTCGGAGCCGGTAGGAACGCCAGCGACAGTGAGACCGTTTGCAGCGATGGAAATACCCGGGGGCGGAATGCAGTGTTCGGGCAGGTCCATAGGGGCCCATAGAGAGCACTTAGAGGGTTGGACTGTAAGGCCGAGAGAGAGAAGGCGGGAGGTAAGGTCAGTGTATGCGGCAAAGACGTCTGAGGGAGGGCCGACCAAGTAGGTATCGTCTGCGTATGAGGTAATGAAAATTGAGGGAGACTGCTGCTGGGTTGGTTGGATGGCTAGCTGCTGTGTTAGGGCATAAAGGAAAGGGCCACAAGGGTCGCCTTGACGAACACCAGAAGCTGATTGGAATGTGTGGAGAAGGGGGCCGCTGCGGTAGTGGAGAGGTGAAGGGGTGGAGTAGAATAGGCGGAAGAAGGGAATGAGACTAGAGAATGGGGAGCGCCTTAATGCCTCAAACATGGAAACCCGGTTGAACGAGTTGAACGCGTTTGCAACGTCCAGCTGAAGCACCACCCAGTCTGGATGAAGGGAGAAGGCGGAGCACACTGCGTGCGACATAATCTCGATCCCGGCCGGAACTGCTAGGCCAAATTGAAGGTGAGGAAGGAATGTCTCTCGCATCTGCTGCTTAAAAAGGAGAGTGATGCAGCGTGAAAGGAGGCGTGGTAGCACTTCCCCAATGGCGATGGGACGTACACCACCATGCGGTTTCTGCAGGGCCACGAGGTTCGAAGCGGTGTAGAAAGGCCTGACTGCGGGCGGAAGGTCACCCTGCAGCCAGTTCTGGAATACGTGGAGGAGAGAAGGGAGATGCTGCTGGTGAGAAAGAAACGTGTCCCTGAGGTGCTCAATGAACCACCCAGAAGGTCCAGCAGCTGTGCCACGGGGGGCGGACTGTAGAGCGGCATGGAGAACAGGGACGGTAAGCTGTGGTGCGGCTGCAGGAGTGAAGGTGTGTACCCAGTCAGGAATCTCTGCTGCAGCAGGTGGGTGCTTGGAGCTGAGGGCAACAACTGTTTCTGATGATGGAGGAGCTAGCTCGCCAGCTTCCAGTGCTGCCAGTGACCGCGACCAATCCCCGCATTTTGCAAACCGCTTCGCACGGTTGAGACGAGCCTGCTGCGCTGTAGAACGTGCTGAAGCCATGTGCAGAGGTCTAGCGGCTGGAGTGGCTGCAGCTACGGCTTCGCTGAAAAGAGAGTGCCAGTCACCAGTGATGAAGCGGCGCGCTAAGGCAGCACATGAAGAGGTAAGGGGCTGTGTGGGAGCAGCGGCAGAAGGTAGGCGCAGTAGGAGACGCGGAAATGCCAAGAGAATGAGGTGTGCAGCGACGTTAGAAGGATGTTGTGCAAGGCGGCGCAGTGGAATGAGAAGTGCATCGAGAATGAGGAGTCGGATGCGGGAGGGGATTCGGCGGAGAATAGGGCCAGGTGAGACTGCCGGGCTGAAGAAGGAAGGCCAATCCCAGGAAGGAACGGCCTCCCAAGTGGCTTGAGGAATTGCAGGTCGATCTGCGGCTGCAGGCGCCGAGGTTGGGGCTGATGAGCGGGGAGGAGGAGGGCGAGCAGCTTGCTGACGTGTGGCGGTGTTGCGAGAGCAGGCTGGAAGGTGACGGGCCAACGAACCTGAGTTGGCAAAGGTGCGTCGACATGTGGGGCAAGAATTAGGAGGTAGTGGGTTATCGGAGGTTGATGAGGGCGGGCAGGGTTGCGGGCATGGCTGCGTAGAGTGAGGGGTAGGGGAAGGAGGAGGGGGATCTCGAGAAGGTGAAGCAACAGTTTCATAGTGTGATAGTGGGTGCGTGTTGTCGGCAGGGGCTGTGGGATTAGGAGCATCTGCTGTAGTCGTCGGTGGAGGTGTTGAGGTAGATGAAGGATGGGCACGGGAAGTCGAGAGCTGAGGGTGAGAGGTTTGAGGCCGTGATGGAGACGGAGAATCAGGAAGGGTGGCTTTAAGGACCTGCTGGAGAATCTCCTTTTGTTTGTCCGAGACAATTTTTGGCGCTGTTGTTGGCTGAGGTTGCTGGGAGGGAGCAGAAGATGATTGAGGCTTAGGAGTAGGGGGTGGTGCAAGGGCTGATGAGGAGGTCGAAAGAATCGCGAAGGCTGGAGTTTGTCGCGAACGGGCAGGCGGACGAGGAGAAGTGGGTTCAGAGTCTTGGGCACCACGGCCCCTTTTGCGGCCTGTCATTCTGTAAGGTATTGGGCTGGTGGCATGCAAAATGATGTTGGAGGTAAAGGAAGCATAAGAAATGAGGTGGAAAGTGTAGTCTTTGTTTCAAGGAAGAAGTTGGTGTAGCGAGGAAGGTCACAAAAAGTGGTTGGGGAGAAGCACAAGCACGGATGTGAGGTTGGCAAAGTGGCGGGAATTTGGGTTGATGGGGGGAGGCGAAAATGCACGTCGGGGGAAGGGGGTTCGCAAATCTGTTGTTCGTGTAGCAGGAGGTAGAAACTGATGACGACACCGTGCTGTCCACTGCTGCTCAACACAAAGCTCAAGCCGCGCCGTTGCAAGGAAGATTCCACTCTGCGCCGTGCGCTAATTGCCTGCCAGATAAGCACTAGTTTCGTATCAACGTGCGCCAACACCGACACGGTAGATCCACGATTGTAGTTTCGATCGCCTCTCGCGTCAAGGGTGTCGCGGATTGCTAGCAAGTCGTGGCTCAAATGTACGAGTATAAGAGAAGATGCAAGGTTGCTGATTTCGCCCTTTAGCGGAGAGTAGTGAGCTTAGCAGCTTTACTAGAGCGAGCAGCTTAGCGAACTACTACGAGGAGCGTACTAGCGCTTTTTATAGGAGCTGCAGCGAGCTTGAGTGACAACTGGCACGTGTCAGACATGCACCGCAGGCAATTAGATTTAAATAATTGTTTTTTAGCAAGCATTTCCTGTTCTCATGCATGGATCTGCATGCGTCTCATTCGTCATCTGTGTAATTCGTTTGCCATGGCTCCACTTACCTCGAGATATCCGATTTTAGAGGCTGGGAAACCACATTCTTCTACGAACTTCCCAATGATGGACCTCGAAAGCACATGATCTCGTCGCGCAATAGGTACGTCGTCTTGCTGCTGGTGCTCACCTGCGGGACTGACCATTCATTCTGCGGCTAAGGTTGTCCTTTGATAGCTCGTGACTCTCCCAGAGAGAGTGTTCGGCATTTCAATTTTAATCCCGAAAGGATGTCGATTTGCTGTTTCGTGCCAATTTTTCTTTGGAGCGTGTTCCTTGTTCAGAATCCAGTGTTCGCTGCGGATGTCACCCAATATCAAATTAATGGCGGCGATGAGATTCACGAGGTCCAACCCCCGGAAACCCGTCACGGTCTTCTCATCTTCAAAGATGACGTCTCTGGAATTAGTGGAACGAGCCGCTCAGATGCTGAGACCAAGTTACGCAATCAAGCTGGCGTGTTCAGGTATAGAGGCGGATTGAACATAATAGCGACTCATGTGCAAGAGGCCGAGCCAAAGTGCCTTAGAAGCACGGCTCAGTACCTGTCGAGGACTGAAGGCTGGCACCCGTGTGCTTACGACAGCACTTCTGGCTACCGCGCTGTCGGTGCTGGGTACAACTTGGATCAGGATCCAGCTGTCGTCCTGTCCGATTTCAACCAGATTCGGGCTGATAGTCATGGGGTGAGTCTTGGAAAACCGTCAGTCTTGCCATGCATTCCTGGACATCTACGCTGTAGTCTTCATGATCGTTTGCTTAGACTTTCTAAGCGTCTATGTCTGATGTTTTTGGCAGGTTTATTCTGGTTCGGAGTGCCTGTCAGGCCCTCAGATTAGCCGACTGCTGGAGATCAGTGTGAGGAGGCTGCTAGCAACCAAATTGACATCAGATTTTGCCATTGACACCAGCAGATTCTGCTGTGACGTCCAGAAGGGCCTTGTTGACGTTCTTCTCACCAGCATGCACCTTGATCCGGATAGAACTGCCTGGCTGAATGTCATTGTCAAGACATTGATGAGACATGACTGGAAAGGAGCAGCCAGGCTGCTGATTCAGAGTGCATGGTGTGCAGCAGATGAGTCAAGATGTGCTGCTGTGGCTGTGCTGCTTACAGCTGGGTGTGGGACTCTTTGAATGGCTCGGTGTAGTCTTAAGCTAGCAAATTTCAAAGGCTTGCAATTTTGTATCTCGTTACCCCGTATAATTCTATTAATGGGAAAAAAGAGCAAGTTTCTGTCCTACGTTCCCGTTGTTTCGGTCCATCCCGTAAAGAGGCCTTCAGTTTTAGGAGCTGAGTCATGCCACCGCTCTCACCCACATATTCCTCCAAATGGCTCTCCATTTCATCCCCTTTCGTATCACATGTCCGACGTGTCTCCTCTCCATCGTTCGCCACGTCAGCGTCAAGCCTACGCGACCGCTCGCAGCGGTCGCGTCGAGGCGTCCTTGCCGTCGCAGGCTCTGTCCAGCCGATAGGACGCGTTCTCCAAGTAGCAGTGGTGTCACCTCAGGCCACTCAACAACGTCCGGTCATTCGAGGTCAATAGTAGCCTTATTCTCTCATCTAAGCGACAGTAGAAATTCCCGCGAAGTTCAGTCTCGTGAGAGTGAGAGGACACTCTCAAGAACACCCCGTGGTAATGGAAAGGCTCTATCTGAGCGTCCTGAGAAGATCCAGCAGAATGAGCGAGCCACGCAGCGGAGCCGTGACCTATCCGCCGTTGATTATTCAGCACATCAGCATGAAGAGAACGATCGGACGGTTCTAGATGAGCCGCGGGAATGGGTGGGTCTGGCAGCATGGAGAACCGCAGCGATCCGCACAGACACCTTCTGGGGACCCAAGGGCTCGTGCGATCCCCCAACCGCCTCTGACAGCTCCTGTGTTTCCCCGCGCGGCGCGGAAAACTCCGGGGACAGTGAGGCGTTTCAAGCCCGCGGCGGCGGCGTCGGCGCGGTGGCGTGGGATCAGATCGCGCTACCTGCCACGCTGGCGGAGTGCGGGCGAATGGTGCTCGAGTCGCCCGACCCGCGCGTCAAGATCGCCGTCACGCACGCCGCGCACCGCTTGCTCGCCGGCGGCGCGGCGACCACAAACGAGGCGGCTGCGGCCGGCAGCGCGGCGACAGCGGCGGCGGCGGTTGGCGTGGCGACTGCCCCTCCGCAACCCGCGCGGCCGGCGCGACCAGAGCTGGTAAGGGGAGGGGGAGGCGGGCGCGAGAGAGGGGGAGGGGGGAGGGGGGAGAGGGGGAGGAGGGAAACAGGGGAGAAATGGGGAGGGGTGGGGAAAGCGGGAGGGGAGAGAGAAGGCGAGTGCCCCTTCGAAACCCGCGCGGCCGGCGCGACCAGAGCTGGTAAGAAGGGGGAAGGCGGGAGCGAGAGAAAGGGAAGGGGGAGAGGCGGAGGAGGGAGAAGAGGGGAGAGGGGGGAAGGGGTGGGGGGGGGAAGGGGGAGAGGGAGAGGGGAGAGAAAGCGAATGAGGGGCGGGGGGGTTGAGTGCGGGACGGGGAAGTAAGCATAGGAAATTGAGGACGTGCGACCCCAATCTTCCGCATTCCATTCCCCTCCCCCTCCACCACCCTTCTCCCATCACTTTCCCACCCTCCCCAACCCCGCCTTATCCCCTTCTCAACCCTTACCCACCCCTCCCCACCGCTCCCCACTCCTCTCCAGGTTCACCTGCGAGCAATGCCCTGCTCCTCCTCCCCTGCACCCTGGCTGGCACACATGCTTCACAATCTAGCCCACGTGGAATCGAACGCCTTGACCTGGCCCAACTTCCCCACCCCTTTTTCACCCCTCTTACCCCTTCCCACCGTTCCCCACCCCTCTCCAGGTTCACCCGCGGGCAATCCCGAAACCTGGCCCTTCCTCCTCCTTACCCTGGCCCGCACACATGCTGCACAACCTAGCCCACGTGGACTTATCCCCCTCCCAACCCACCCCTCTCCACCCTCCCCTCCCCTCGGCACCGCTACCCACCCCTCTCCAGCGCACATGCTGCACAATCTAACCCACGTGGAACCATCCCCTTTCCCACCCCCTTTACCCCCTCCCAACCGTTCCCCACCCCTCTCCAGGTTCACTCGCGTGCAATCCCCAAGCCCGGCCCCGCCTGCCCCTTACCCCGGCCTGCGCACATGCTGCACAATCTAGCCCACGTGGATCTATCTCCTTCCACACCCTTCCTCAACCCCTTCCACCCCACCCCACCGCTCCCCACCGCTCCCCACCACTCAACACGCTCCCTAATGATCCCCCCCAGGTGCACCCGCGGGCAATCCCCAAGCCCGGCCCCTCCTCCCCGCTACCCTGGCCTGCGCACATGCTGCACAATCTAGCCCACGTGGAACTGAACGCCATTGACCTGGCATGGGACACCGTTGTCAGATTCTCCGCTCTAGGGGCGGAGGGGGAGTGGGGGGTGGAAGTGGGGCGAGGGGAGTTGGAGCAGTGGGAGAGGGGGGACGAAGAGGGGGGACGAGCAGAGGGAGGAGGGGAGGAGGAGGGGAGAAAGGAGAGCTCGGAGCAATCGTGGAAGCTTCCACGTCAGTTCTTTTTGGACTTTGTACACGTGGCAGATGACGAGAGCAGACACCTGGCGTGGTGCTTGCAGCGACTGGAAGAGATGGGGTACAGGTGGGATGCGGTGCATGCAGGTGGGGTGCGGTGCAGGGGGGGTGCGGTGTAGGTGGGGTGCGGTGCTGGTGGGATGTGGGGCGCACATGGTGCAGGATGCATACAGCTAGTTGTTCGCCGCTCCTTGATGTCATGGCCTAACACCTCTCACATTGTTGTCACTGCCCCTACCCAACTCTTTCCATCTCTCCCCCAACTCATTTTCTCCCATCTCCCCCCAACTCCCCCCCCCTCCCCCCATCTCCCTCCCAACCCCCCCCCATTTACAGCTATGGTGACATGCCAGCTCACAACCTTCTCTGGAGGGACTGTGAGAAGTCGGCCAATCACGTGCAAGACAGGCTGGCAGTCATTCCCATGGTGCAGGTACCGCCGGCCAATCACGATGCACCTGGGGATTGTCAGGCAGCAGTCATTGGCTGGTAGATGGGCCACGTGGGATGGCTACGGCAGGGATGGGGAGAGGAGAGGGGAAAATGGAGGAGAGTGGGAGAGTTGGAAAGTAGGAGACGAGGAGAGGAAGTCGGAAGAGGAGGTCAAGACCCGAAACAGTGGTCCATTTGCAGTTTGATTTGGCTCAAAAATCTGTTCTTTCAATCTTCTAGAGAAATCCCTCATTGTGCTCCACCCCCTCCTCCTTTCACCCTCTGTCCATCCTCCTTGTATACATCCCAACAGGAGGCGAGGGGGTTGGACGCGGGGCCGCGGCTGGTGGAGAGGCTGGTGGGGCTGGGAGATACGAGGAGTGCAGCGGTGGTGGCCAAGATAGCACAGGAAGAGGTTGAAAGAGGAGGACTAAAAAAACAAGACGGGTTTTTTTTTCCATCCTCCTACCATCCATCCCTTCTGGCAGGAAGCGAGGGGGTTGGACGCGGGGCCACGGCTGGTGGAGAGGCTGGTGGGGTTGGGAGATAACAGGAGTGCAGCGGTGGTGGACAAGATAGCCCAGGAGGAGGTGGCACACGTTGCTGTTGGGGTGGCGTGGTTTGTCTGGGTGTGCGAGCGCATGGGCGTTGACCCACAGATGTCGTTTACTAGTGAGTTGGTGGGGGTGGTGGGTGGGATTTACACCTTGAAAGCGCAGGGTGGTGTGGTTTTTCTGGGTCTGCGAGCGCATGGGGGTTGATTAACCCACAGACGTCGTTTACTAGTGAGTTGGTGGGGGTGGTGGGTGGGATTTACACCTTGAAAGCGCAGGGTGGTGTGGTTTGTCTGGGTCTGCGAGCGCATGGGGGTTGATTAACCCACAGACGTCCTTCACAAGTGAGTGTGGGGACAGAGTTGCATACATCCATTACAGGTATTCTGAATTTCTCCCAGGGAGAAATGGCTTCAGGGTTTGACGCAGCCTCCCCGCATGCTCCCACCTCTCCGTTCCTTCCTTTCTCTGTGCAGGTGTGATTCGATCGCTGTGTGCTGATGGGGTGAAAGGGCCGTTCAACCATGCAGCTCGTGCCACTGCTGGGCTGTTATGGCCCTGGTACTACCTCGATAACATTTACCCACCTCTCACACACAGAACAACCACCTCTCCGATTCTTCCTTTCTCTGTGCAGCTGTGATCCGATCGCTGTGTGCTGATGGCGTGAAAGGGCCGTTCAACCATGCAGCTCGTGCCACTGCTGGCCTGCCACGCCCTTGGTACGACCCCCAACCACCCGCCACTGCTGCCCCTCTCGATACAGTCACATCAAGCACTGCCACTGACACAACTGCTCAAGTCACACCTGCTTCAGTCACACCTGCTGCAGTCACACCTGCTGCAGTCACACCTGCTGCAGTTACATCAGCTCATGACTCCTCATTGGATTCGTCTGGAGGAGAAGGGGCAAAGGAGGGAACTGAAATGATGGTGGAAAAACGGCGCTCGGGGCAGGAAGAAGTGG